CTAATGTTAACTTAATTTTCAATGTATTAATGTAATCTGTGTTCTTAATCTAAGGCGCTATAAGTTTATTCTCTATACATGTTTAGTGCAGTATGAAAGAGACACAGAAAGAAAAATCAATCATTACTTCACAGAGAAATATGAACTCTGTTAGCTTCATTTTTCACACTGTGAAAATGACTTGACCTTCCTTTCCTCAGAAATCCAAATATCTCCAATCTGTATTCAACAGCATAGCTGGGCACAAATTTTCCATTAACATTTTCTGGATAGAAAACTGATTTCATTCTTGTTGTTTTGTGGAAAACCAGGGGTTTTTTTTTGGATCAAATGGAGTATTCTCAGCAAAACAGGTTTCCGTGCTGCCTCACAAGGGTTGCAGTTCAGTTAGCTTTGCCTCTGCAGCTGTGGACCACTGGCCTCAGTCTCTCTTGCCCGACTCACCATGGCCACGGTCCTGGCACTCCTCCTTCAGGAACAGGGACAAGAGGGTGGCTTGTGGCAGCTGCAGTCCAGCTGCTGAGCCCTGCCTTTGGAGCAGAGCATTGAATGGGCCCTCGTTACTACTTCTTCACATCTTCCTCATTGTCTCTGTAACCCCCTTTGTGTATCCAGCACCTGTGTGCAAAGCCTTTGGGTAACAAGGCTAGCATGGGATGTATGTAGGCTTGAAAGAGAAAGGGTGAGGCTGGGATGACCTTTCCCTGCTTCAAACTCTGTACCCCACTGTTTGATGCTGAACCTGAAGGAGCAGGTGAGAATTCCAACTGGTGCAACTTCAGCAGCTCTCTTGGTTGCTTTCAGCCTTGAGCTTCCACCCATGGCTGCTCAACCTTGACCACAGCAGCAGCCCAAGGGGGCCAGGCATCTGTGTCTCCATCAGAAGGGTGCTATGGCAGGCCTCTTCCTTCTCTCACCTGAAATAGGGACAACTGCTAAAGCCACCCACCAGGAGCATCTTGACAGAAAGCTGTCCCTGGGCTTGTAGAGCATCATGGTCAGGGGAAGGGCTGGCTGGAGCAGGGCAGGGGAGAGTGAAATGGCAGCAGGACTCGTAGCCTAGAGCCTCGTCGGCAAAACTGGAGTCTGACCCATGCTGAGCCAGCGTTCTCCTTTGTAGCAGACTGCGGATCCAGGCAGTGGTGAACAGGGCCAGGAGGCCTTGCTGATCTTATTATCCCTGTCCCGAGCTGTTGCAGGTGCTGGGCACTGCAGTTGTATTTTTCACTGTAACTGTAAGAGAGGTCATGCCGAGGGCAGTTGCACTTTCTATTCCTGGCAGTTTGTGTAAATGAACCCTTCGCTATTTGAAGCTGGAGCTGGGACAGCCTCATGCTTGCGCTTGCCCCTGGGCTGTCAGTTTGCAGAGGCTGCTTGCTCCCCGCTGTCGGCAGCCACACAGGACAGGAGCACGCACCGCCCTGACACGCTCCCTTCCCACAGCCCTTCGCTCCTGCACCCACGGCCGTGGTGAGCCAGCTCTTGCTCTGGCTGGTGTGCATTGAGGTTGTGCGGGGCCGAGCATGGCTGCTGGCAGCAGCGTGCTGCGACCCTGGGGAGAGGGGTGGCGAAGTCCCCTCCTGCCAGGCCCCCTGTCAGCAGACAGCGTGTCTGGCGCCGGGCCCCAGAGGAGCCCTCACTGGGTGTCTGCAACGGTGATACTCAGGCACATCCTTGGGTGGTTTGAAACCTGACTGCAAAAAGCTGGATCATGCACAGACTTTCTCGTGCGGCTGAGGGTACAGGGTGTTTGGGGACTGCCAGGACTGTCAACAGGGTGTTTGGGGACGTAACTTCTCAGGAGGGAGATTATCTCTGCTATTGCCCTTCATAGAAACAGCAAGTTTGCTTCCTCATGCAGGATCTCCCACCCCTTATCTTCACTAGAATGAGCTCTCAAAGCCTTTTCAGGAACTATTTTGTGCAGCTTTTGCTATTTTCTGAAGAATTGGAAAGGGTTTACTTTGAGAAAGTGAAGGCACTAATACCTGGGAAGTGGTTTTTCTTTCTACTGGTTAAGAGCAAGTGCTGTTGCAGACCCTTTTGGTGCAGGGGTGGCCAGCTGGCATCAGCAGACCCGTCTCTGAAAAAAAGGGGAAGCAGAATTGCCAACTCCTGCAAGTCCCAGTGCGGAATGCTTGTATTAAGTCATTTAGTTGAGTTTAATAGTTCAAGCTCAAGATACTGAAAATAGGTGAGATATTGAATGTAAGTGATTAGGTGTCAGACTAGGTTTTTATTTTTGTTAATAGTATTTTTTTTTGAAAAAAAAAATCAAAAGTTCTGTACCTGTTTTTGGAGAAAAGTTCTGAAAATGTGACCTTACCTCCCATGTTGGTTCAAAATATTGGCCAGAAACTATGATTTTGAATGGGGCTTTTTAAAAGCAACAATGATGCTAAAATAAGAAACAGAAGAGAGGCGTGACTCAAGATATTTTAAAGCTCGAGGCCCAGAGCAGCATGTTTAAGTCTGTTTGTGGAGAAAACTGAGATGCTAGAAAGGAAATGCTGCATGCACCTGCCTGCCCGCAGCAGGGAGAGGAACCGTGCTTTGGGTTTTGCTGGGTGTGAGCACAGACTGTCAGCAACGCAGCCTTGCCTGAGCTCCCTCCCTTTTGGGGGCTCACAAGACACACAATGCAAATGTGAATCTTGCAGTGAAGCCTAAGCTAAGACGATGAAGTCTGTCACATTTGACTTCCACTGATAACAGTTCCACAGCTTTTTCTCAGCAATATTTTTAACCCAGTAGCACTTTTAAAACAATTGTGTATTCCTAAGGAAGGCAAAAATTGTGGATTATATTAGCTGCTCTGCCACTGGTCTAATTTATAATCTTGGACTTGTCTCTTAATTCTCAAGAAGTCCATACGGATGCTTCTGCTGGAGGGTTCCCTGGAACCTAGTCTCTGGTGGCAGAGCTGGCAGCTGTAACTGGCCATGTGAGCCTCCCGCGGCTGGGGCATGGCTGCAGAGATGGGACCCCACCAAAGCAAGGGTCCTTTCAAACTCTGCCAGCCCTAAGTCCCAGAAACTCGCTGGCACATGGGGAAGTTCAGGGTGCGACTGGTCCTGTGGAAAACTGGAGTAAAAATGAACATAGTTTTGGTCTTCTTTTTGCAATACTAATGCATGTACTTGTTTGCTCAGTGGATATATGTATTTAGAATTTTATATTTATAAAATGGATGTGGAAAATTGTAAGACTAGTTCAGAAGGCAGCTGGATACAAAGGCATGCAGTCAGGGTGCATGAATGTGGGTAGAAAACCTGATTTAGGGGATGGAGGGCGCAGTGGGCCCCATTCCCCTTCTGTTGTGTGTGGGGCAGCCTGGGACTGGTGCTCGGGCTCGGTGCGGGACGGGCTCTGCGGGAGCGGGTCTGATGCCCGCAGGTGAGCTGTGCCGCTGCCCGTGGAGCAGGCCGGCAGCGGGAAAGGCCATCCCAGCCGCTTGGCAGGCGCCGCCAACCCCCAGGAATGCTGGAGAGGACTTTTCTTGTTCAGCCCTCCCCGGGCTGCCCGAGCCCCCTTCTCCTGCCACCGCGCGCCTCCCAGCAGGCTGACCCACAGCGTTGTTCGTGCCATGTCTACGCCACGTCTCGTGTCAGTGGGCGTCAGGTTTGTTCACCCCCAGGAGTTGGCTTTGGTAATTAAATTCTAGGTGACTTTTTTTCTTTTTTTTTTTTTTTTTTTCCGCCCCCCCTTCTCTCCTACCACCACTTCTTTCTCCCCCCTCTCCGAGCCCGGCCAGGACGCGCTCAGATTATCCTGAGGCGCGAAGTCGCGCCGCTCCCCTTCGCACCCTCCTACCCCCCCCCCCCCCCCCCAACCCCGCTGTTTCTCCCTCACCGCGAAACTTCCCCGGGCAGGGGCTGCGAGGCTCCGCCAGATCCCGGCGGTGCTGCCGCGGCGGCTCCATGCCGCGGCTTCGGGCCGCCCCGGCTCCTCCCCTCGCGGTGTGCGAAGGGGGGTGTGCGTGTCTCCGTGTGTGTGTGTGTGTGAGTGTGTGTGTGCGCCAGGGCCGCCGCCGCCGCCGTGCCCGCCTCTCCCAGCCAGGCAGCCACCGCGCCGCGCTGCTGGCGGCGGCCGGAGCGGGCGGCGGCGGCGGCGCTCGGCGAGCCCCGGGCGGCTCCGGGCGGCCCCGCGGCGGCCGCCGCTCCCCGCGGCGCCGCTGCCCATGCCGGCCGGGCAGCCCTAGCCGCGCCGGCTCGGCTCGGCTCTCCTCGGCTCGGCGCGGGGCGGGGAGGGGGCACCACTTCTCTGAGTCTCCCCACCAGATCGTTATGGACCTATTCGACTTTTTCAGGGACTGGGACTTAGAGCAGCAGTGGTAGGTTTTTTTTGGGTGTTCTTTTCTGGTGTTTGTTCTTTTTTTTTTTTTTTTTTTTTTTTTTTTCTTTACCCCCCCTCCTCACCCCCCCTCCCCACCCCTCTTCTAACAGCTGCCTCCTTCCTCTCCTCCCCGCTCGCTCCACTGGTGCCTTAGCCTTTGTTGAGGGGCGAAGCGCCCGGTGCCCGCCGGGGAGCCGCCGCCAGGGCCGGCCGGCTCCAGCCCCGCTCCGCGGCCGCGCCGCCGGCTCCGGCTGGTGGGGAGCAGCCCGCGGGCCGGCGGCTGCGGGGGGCGAAGTTGGCCGGAGGGGGAGGAGAAGCGCCGAAACGTGCCGGGGTGCCGGCTGGAATAGCGGCAGCAGCCCCCCGCCCCGAGCCGGGGAGCGGTGCGGAGCGGCGAGGTTTTCCCCGGGATCGCGGCTTTGCGAACGTGTTTACTGCTGTCAGTGACAATATTCCTTTCACGGGGAGGACCGCAACTGTAGTTTTGCTGTGTGGCACAGTTCAACTGTAGCCCTGTTCAGTGTGGGGGCTTGTGTTGCTGTTTTTGCTGGTTTCTTACACTGGATGAAGCGTTATTGAAGTTAGTTTTGGAAGTGGGAAGATCAGTCCCTGTGATATTGTAACAGGTCGCTTTTCTTTTTTTTTTTTTTTTTTTCCCCCCTCCCCTCTCTTCCTCTTTCTTTTATTCTTTTTATTTATTGATTTTTTTTTTTTTAACAGTGAAATTTTAGGTTTATATTACTGTGCAAATAGGTGCACACCTTGAAAAGGTCGGTGCATCTGTTTGAGCGTATTGTAAACTTGTTACCAAAGTGAATGTTAAGGAATTTTCGATGGGTGACAAGTAGCTGGGAAAGTTAGAATTTGGGTAGGTATTCAGTCACTTTCCCGACTGGTTAATGACATTATGCCTATTCTTTGACCGTTTTCATTGGTTCTTGCTTTACTTTTGAATTTAGCAAATACAGTTACAATTCTTTTAACTGTGCACAGTGAAATTCAGTGGTTGGTTACTGCTTTGTTAAATGCTTTTAGGCTGCAGTGCAGTTTGCCAAGAATGAAAGAGACTAAAATACTGTATTTTGTGATCCTAATCTCTAAATGTCACACAGTTTATATGTGTGTGTGCATGTGCATTTGGATCTCATGTTTTGTAGAAGGGTTTGCTTTACTTTGTTGATAATATAAATGTATGTCTAGGAAAAAGATAATATATTAAGTTAATAACTATCATTTTGCCAAACACAGTCTAACAGCTATGGTTACAAATCCAAGATAATCAGAACCAAATACCTGTCACGTTCTATTTTACAGCAATTTGGAGTAAATCCTTGGAACCATAAATTACACTCTATCAATATTAATCTGTAAGCAGGCGTTTTGGATCATGTGCGTGTTTTATCAGCTCTGCATAAACCATCATATTGTATCTTTTAATAACCATTCTGTTGTTATTTAAAAGTAACAATCACAATAAAATTAGTGCTCAATTAAATATTATGTTTCTACCACACTATCTTTACTCTGCTACACTAATTTATTTTGCAGACAACTGATAACCACTGTATTACTACTCAAATAATATTTGCATACAATTTGCTTAATTTATAGTGTGGGTAACATCATTAATTTAATAGAAGCTGTTACAACCCAATATGTGGGTGTAGTTCAAATACTAAGCACGTTATAGGTATTGAGTTTTAATGTTTGCTTAATAACTTACTTTCATTTGGCTATGGTTTTATGTGGATTTAGAGATGTGCATCAGAAAGAAGGAAACTCTTGTGCCTCTGTTTTTCCATAAAATATGAACATATTGCCTTTCTTTCTAGAAATTCCATTTGCTTGCTTTCGTACAGTCAATTTTACAGGTTTAAGTGTTTTTAGGGTTCATGAGGAAAGAATATTTTTACTTTGATTGCTTCAAAGCATTTGATATCTACACAAACTCTATATGGCACAGGCATTCACACACGATTACTTATTGCACAGATCAAGTTGGATTGAGCTTTTAATAATCCAATTAGTATATGCAAGTGCACATGTGTATAATATGTAGGTACATGATCTACACGTAGACGCAAACGTGATATGTATTTTATTGTACAGGGAAAGATTTCAGTCTCTGACAAGTAGTTGCATTGCTTAAGGAGAGTTGAATTTAGCTCATCTATCCATAAATATGTGCATGTGTAGATACGTAATATGTTATACATGCATCAGCTCTACATACCCAGAAATATGCATGCTCAGCCATCAAGTTGTATTAATTTTTGTCTGTGTATCCAATATTATGTGATTACTTCATAATATTTGCAAATAAGTATATATAACATGATGTGTGAATTGCTGCTTCTTATTTTGAAACTGTCCTCCTTCCTTCTGTATGTAAACTGGCCTTTGTAAAACATGTTTCACAAGCATTTATAAGGCAATTAGAGACCCTCTTCTGCATTCCTTGCAAACCCAAAACTTCTGCTAATCTGCTGCAATCGCCAAGAAGGCAAGCTCAGGCCTACAGTGTGTGTGTGGGTGTTTGTATGTATTATCTGTATGCAAAGTACAACAGAAACAGCCTGAATAATAAATATAATATATTTACGGTTTGAGCAGAGATTTTTTTTTAATCTCATGAAAAGGTGTAAATGTAACACTTCCTAAGCATTGCCATTATATCAGAAAATGACTCGCAAAAAGTTTTGGGCTGATGGGAAAAAAAATACAGTTAATTTCCACGCCCCCCCCCCCCCCCTCCCCAGTGGAAGTATGTCTTTGTGTCACTTCATGGAATGTATTTTGTCAAGAACTGTCAAGAGTTACAGCACGCGCTGCCACTGCGTGTGTTCTGAAATTCTCACCTGGCATTCTGGATGATGAGTGGGATCTTTGTCTTGATACAAACAGCAGAATCAGCCCTTTAGTTTCACGTATTAGGGGAGATCACAGTAGTACAAGAATGAGGTGTTTTATTGAACCTTCATCAAGAATGTGGTCTGGAGGGTAGCTGAGGGTTGGTGTGGGGTTTTTTTGTTAACACCTGGGTAAAATGTATAAAATAAGGCCACAGCTATCCCAGTGGATGTTTTGCCAGGTTTCAAAAGCTGAAAAAAAACCCAAAACAATTTAAATGAATCTAACTGTGGCTGAGGTGAAAGGGCCAAAGCTAAAGTCTGCTAAGATTCCTGGGTGAATAAGAAACATTCACCTGGGCTTGCATTTAATATGAGCCATTCTATGAAGGAGAAGGGAGATGGATATAATGAAAAGCTTGAATGCCTGTGTGCACCAAGGGGACCACTTGCTGTTAAAAATCAAATTTCATCTTTTAAATCACTTTCCACGCTTGTCTGTGGTAACCAAGTAAATGAAATCTTGAAGTGTCCTGGGACCATGTGGCTAGATTTGAACCTGCTTATGGAGTAAGGTGGTGCCATTAATCAGCAGCTGGGAAACAACAAAACCCAACAAAAATCCAACCACCCCAGAATATATAGCTCCTCACTAACGCAAACAAAGGGGAAGAGATTCATGGTTTATGATATATTTATTGTCATTGGTATTAATATTTTTTTTAAGTCCTCCAATCTTTAAAAAAGCAGAAGTTGAGAAAATACTTAGCGGGAAAAAGCATGTTGAGATATATAAAATAAAACCTGGCAAAGGGAAGTAAGGTCAGCAGATAAGAGTATCGTTGTAGCTGTGTGGTTGTGATGGGGAAGACTTCTCAATGCAGAGAAACAAGCCTCCTTTTTTTTTTTTTTTTTTTTTTCTCCTTTTTTATATTATGTATCACAAGTAGCCTAATTACAGCAAAACCAGCAAACTGCCAGTTATACAGGAAGAGGCTTAAACTCACTAAACTGTTATATAAATAGAAAGTTCAAAGGTCTGTTTGTGGCTGACAAAGCTGAGAACAGGCCATCTGTGGGCCAGGTTCCTCTCCTGTACGAATGCAGAAATATACTGCATGCCACAGCAGTCTGTTCTTTCAACATAGTCCTCAACCTGGAGGGGGTGATCCTGCTCTCCAGACAAAGGTGAACTGTTTCAGTTCCAGCCTTGGGTATTTCCCTCCCTTCACCCGCCTTCCCCCTTCCCCCTTTGCCTTGTGCCTCTGCAGAAGACCTTCCCGGTTACTGTTCTTTCACCCGGGTCTGTAATAGCTCACTAAAAGTCTTCTGAACGTGGAAACAGTGTTGTGTTTCTGATGGGAATGTGTGAAATAGAGTAGGTAGGCTCTTTGGGAATTAGATTGATTTTTACTTTTTTTTTTTTTAATTTTTTAGGGTGATGGTGAGAGCATTAGTATAGGAGAAAGTCACATTTGAATTAACCTTTTATAAGGTTTTTCTCCCCCTCCCTTTCTTAAGAAATATTACAGTTGATTTGCAGTTACTCTTTGGATTTGTATTACAGACATCCCGGAGTAATTATTTGAAAATGTTTCATTTTCAATTTGTCTTGAAAGTGTAAATGGATGGATTATGTGGCTGGTGGGTGGGTGAGGGGGATTAGATGCTGTCAAAACAAGCAGCTGAGGAAGACCAAAAATAGTCTTGGGCCAAAACCTGTACTTGAAGTACATCCTGATTTAGTAATTCTTCCCTGGCTGATATTGAACTCCATGGAGTGTAAATCTTAAAAGAATTTGGCCGTTTGCAAACATTAAGTTCACATCTATCCTATGAGACAAAATTACTATCAGTTTAACAGCATTTGAATTGTTTTCCTAATGATTCATTCAAGAATTTAATGACTTTTAAAATATACAAATTGGGAAGGAGAGTAGATACTTCAGATACTATTCAGCTATTCTGAAGCCAAGCAGAACTTCAGAGCACTTAAGAATTTTGTATGTGAATGCCAATTATATTGTTTGGGATTTTCTTTTTGAGTAAAAGATGGTGTTATGATGCAGGTTCTTCAGTCAAGCAGAATTATTCCTTTTGTCTGTCTGACAAGACTGTCACTGCAACCTGGAATTTAACTAAATAATTTAAGGGGAAAATGTGACATTCTGTAAAGTATTAAGTTAAATAAATATACTAAATGATCACTGAAAAAAATGTGTGGACACTGCTGGTCTTTTTGAGCTTCTTAGGACAGAGGCAGTATGCTTCAGCACTGTGGAAATTGTGTTGTGATTTTTTTTTTTTTTTGTCTGTGTTATGAGGCCCAAATTCTGTTTTTTATCTGAGTCAAGCAAAATTCTCATCATGCAAGATGAGACAAAATTGGCTCTGAGACCTAGAAAAAGCATGTGGGCCTTGATATAGCAAGGTCGATAGGCAGGTATGTAGTTTTAAGCATACAAGCAGTCCTATTGAAACAACTCTGATTTGAAGTTAAGTTTTACTCAACTGGATTCTCGATCACTCCCAAAATGCATAACGTGTTTTACTAGTGACTAAACCCCAGTTCTCCATGTATTTGGTAATGGAAACTGGTGTTATTTTTGACTGTATAGTACACATTCATCTGCCTGAAATCTATCAGCAGTTTTACATGATTGCAGAAATAACTAGGCAGCCAGAAAGAATGCAAATATTAAATCTCGTTAAAAAAACAACCCCAAAAAACTAAAAGATTCGTAGGAAACCTTTTATACACTGAACTCATTAAATATGTGGAATAAGCATCTAAACAGGTAGACCCCATCTTGTATTTGCCTAGTGCCTTTAGTTTGAGGTAATGGAATTGCTTTGTGTAGAGGACTTGAAGGATTGGGCTCCTGGGTGTTTGTTAAATGTATATAATTAATAAATACCATAAAGTACCCTTGTCTTGCTCCAGCTTGGGCCTGAGCCAGTAGGCAGTGACATCAATGGGGATGCTCCCAATTGCCTTCAGAGGGTGCTGGATTTGACC